AAAAAAAAAAATACCGAAGTCATTTTAATTGGAACCGTTTGTAACTGATGAACATACATGAATATATGTAGATATTCAACTTCATTCTCCACACAACGCTCAAAAAATCGCTCTCCTTTACATGATTTTGGAGTACGGGGTCGTTTTTCCTGTAACTTCCTGCAAGTTCGTGAAAAAACCTCTAAGTTCATTGAGTACTGGATCAGAGTTAATACAAGATCGCAAAAAGAGAAGACGAGAGTAAGAGGAAATGCCGAACAAATGAATTTAGCTCCCCGTCTTGCAAACAAAAGATGCTATGCTATATGTATTCATGACTAACGTAAACCTAGCGACAGGTGAAGCAGAACCACAGATTATATTCCTAAAAGAAAAACTAAATGCCCAAACTACAAGCTTAAAAACAGTAATTGATGCGGTGTTTTCAAGATATTTTAACGCCCTTGAATCACAAGTTTGTATATACAAGTATCATATTTATCAATCATAACGATAATTTCGTGTATTAAAAGAATTAAAAATGAAAATTAATAAAAAAAATTTCAATTAGCAAAATGAATAAAATGAAGTGAAATTAATATTGAATTTCTAACCTAACCTACATGTGTACGTATGTAACTGAATCGTCCAATAATAGGTTTATATCAGGGACCGTAACGGTTATAACTTTTATTATAAAAATCACTTTTTAATCTTTATTAACTGAGTTTTATTTTTTGCTCAAAACAAAACGATAATTTTTTGAGTTTTATTTTTTGCTCGGAAAATAATCGTTACGTTTTAAGTTTTATTTTTTGCTCGGAAAATAATGGTTACGTCTTAAGTTTTATTTTTTGCTCGGAAAATAATGGTTACGTTTTTACGTATGCGTATGCGCAGGAGCGGCTACATTGAACTTTTAACGCCACTGTGGAGTGGGTAATGCAAATACAGAGAGCAAGATACAAGGGCACAAAGATAAGGGCATAAAGGTGAAGAACAGGACAAAGTTAAAAGTAAATAAAAAGACAAGGATAAAGATAATGATGGAGATGAAGATGGGGATGAAGATGAAGATGAAGATGAAGATGAAGATGAAGATGAAGATGAAGATGAAGATGAAGATGAAGATGAAGATGAAGATGAAGATGAAGATGAACATGAACATGAACATGACGATGACGATGACGATGAAGATGAAGATGAACATGAACATGAACATGAACATGAACATGAACATGAAGGTGAAGATGAAGATGAAGGTGAAGATGAAGATGAAGATGAAGATGAAGATGAAGATGAACATGAACATGAACATGACGATGACGATGACGATGAAGATGAACATGAACATGAACATGTACATGAACTTGAACATGAAGGTGAAGATGAAGATGAAGATGAAGATGAAGATGAAGATGAAGATGAAG